GGATTGTTTTTTCTGGGGAGGGGGGGGGGGGGGGGGTGGTGCAATCTCAGAGTTTCTTTTACGACCATCTTGAGATATTGAAGCTCATCTGTACTCTCCTCAGTTGCTCTTCCTTTCTGTCCAACAGAGCTCCTAATTTCTTCTTGTGCTTTCTTCATTATTATTGAATTTCTAGCAATCTCTGCCGTTGCCCAGATGACAGTGATGACACTGTGTCAACTCCGCCTAAGAATGTATTCTGAAACTCAAGCATCACAGATAAGTTAGATAAGACTTATTTGTTTCTTTTAGTCATATAACAGATACTCAAGTTAGATATCAGGATCTTAGTTTCACAGTCCTATAAAATCATGTGTAAATAAGCACTGAATGTCTTTCTTCTCTGCTGTAACAAGTTGTGGAAACAACTAGGCTTTTTTCCACTCGATATGCCGTGCTGCTCGACCTACATTTAGAGAGAGGTCAAGTGATCTTGAAAATCCAATTATGTAAGAAACAAAAGAATCATGGCTGTCATGGAAAACATAAAAAAATAAAAATTATACAAGGGCAAAAGCATCTGTAATTATGCTGAGAGAACAACTGTATGAAAGTGGTCAATCTGGATGCTGCTCCATGCCTGCTAGATACCCGTCATGATGGTTACGGAACCTTCCATTGCATTTCCAAATGTTTTTTTTTTGTTTTTTTGTTTTTTTAAAAGAAATCTTTGCAGAGTTTCATTATGGTCTCAGCTTCATGAATCGCTTTTTGACATCTTTCATTATCAAAATCGCTTCCTTGAAAACTCTTCCCAAAAGCCATCCTGAATACTATACTTTTTTTTTTTTTTTATTTACATGGGGTGTCCGGCCAGGTTATGCGCACTACAACTAATATTATACTTGCAAATACAGAATATAGCATTTGCCTCCTAATATTGCATTACTGGTTCAAAACGTGGAGAACGTTCTGAGAAAGAATGATGCTGTCCCAGAATTTTAAGTTTAACTTGCTATGTACTACCCTCAATCCTGGAAAACTCACTTTGAGTAATTCTTCGAAACTAAAAGGCCAGTTGAGTTTGCATCTTGGAGGATATTGAAAGTATTTAAGTGAAGAAAGAAAATAAGAAGAAAGTCAAAGACGGCAAACAAATGTGTACTGTTTTATTTGATCTAAAATGAATTAATTGGTTAAAATAAAAGATTAACTAAAGATTTACAGCTATTGATATTCGACACTCTTTTTTACTGATTTTTTATTTTAAAGACTCAAACCTACTTATTGAAAAAGAAGTTTAGTAAACAAGTCAGCTAGTTGATCTTCAGACTTATAATAAATCAACTTAAAATCATTATTTTTCTATACTTCTCGTAAAAAATAGAGTTTGATATTAAAATTTTTTATTTTTTTATGAAACACTGGATTGTAAAAAATTACTATAGCTACCTGATTGTCTACTGAGATCTTTGTTATTTCTTTCTCTTCTATATGCAAATCACAGAGAATCTTTTTAAGCCATAATGTTTGATTCACTGTTATTGTTGCTACAATAAACTCTTTTTCTACAGTGGATTGTGCCATAATGTCTTGCTTCTTGGATTACCATGAAAACATTCTTGATCTTAGGTTGAAACAGAACCCAGAAGTATTTTTCATGTCATCAATAAATCCACTCAAATCACTATCATAAAGGCCATGTAATCTTAACTTCTAACTGCTCTGAAATTGAACACCAAAACTGATTATTCCTTTGATGCATCTTAGAATTCGTTTGACTGCCCTCAAATGTATTTCAGTTGGATAATGCATGAAACGAGATAGAAGACTTGTTGCATAAAATATATCAAGTTTGGTTGCTGTTAGGTACATCAAACAACCAATTAAACTTCTGAACTTCTCTTCATCAACTTTGTTGGTTCCATTTTCTTTGCTGAATTTGTCCTTTTGATTCATTGGAGTGGCTGTTGGTTTACAATTCTTCATGCGAAATTTTCTTTGCATACTTCTTCTTGAAGATGAATATCTCATTTTTGCCTTGCTTGATTTCCATTCTAAGAAAAAATATCATAAGACTAGGATTAGTCATTTCAAAAGCTTGTATTTTCTATTTGAATTCTTCAACTTGTTATGCATTGCTTCCTATCACTAGAAGATCATTAACATAGAATGAAATTATAAGAATATCATTGTTAGTTTTCTTTACATAGAGAGTTGCTTTAAACAAGCTTTCTTGAAAGCCAAAGCTCATCAAATAATAATCAATTTTGCTCTAACAGGCTTTAGCAAGTAGAGCTTTTCTTCTTTTCCTTGAATTACAAACACAAGTGGTTATTCAACATAAATCTCTTCATGCAGAATACCATTTAAGAAGGCTAACTTGACATCTAATTGGAATACCTTCCAATTCTTGTGTGCATCAATAACAAACAATAGTATTATCTGAATAATCAACACCAAATATCTGAGCATACCCTTTAACAATCAGTCTAACTTTATGTTTATTGATGGATCTATCTATATTTAATTTAGTCCTGAACACCCATTTGATGCCAATGATGTTTTTGTCTGATGGTCTGTTAACCACTTTCCAAGTGTAGTTTTTTTAAATCATTAATATCTCCTCCTCCATCGCTTTTTACCATGTAAAGTCCTGGTGAGCTTCTTCATATCCTTTTGGTTCACAAACTGCTACATTGCTCCATTGATAAATGTTTGCAAGAGATCTTGTGCCTCTGATGGGTATTCCATCAATTGATTCATCATTCCATTGAAATTTATCTTAAACTCCAATCAACACGTTGTTTTGTGAGTCTTTCCAATCCTATTGTTCCTCTTTATTTCATGAACATCTCTTGTAATGGTCATCTTATGAGTTTGAGGATGATACACTTTGTAGGTTTTAGAAACAAAACTATAGCCTATAAAAATACCTGGTATAGCCTTATTTTGAAGCTTATCTCACTTGATCCATGGAACAGGAACATAACATATGATGCCAAAAATTTTAAGAAAGTTTAATGAAGGTTTGTAATCATATGCTTCAAATAACATCTTTAGCTTTAAAATTTTTGTTGGAAGTTGATTTTGAAGAAAAACAACTGTGTTAGTTGCTTTTGCCCAAACAATCTTAGATAAATCCTTTTCATATAACATGTATTTGACCATCTCCATTATGTATCTATTTCTCCTTTCATTGACTCCAGCTTGTTCTAGATTGTAAAGAGTTTTAACTTGATGTTCAATGTTAATATCTTCACAGTATTGATTGAACTCTAATGAAGTGTATTATTTACTATTAATATATCTAATGGCTTGAATTCTACATCTACTCTGATTCTCCACATTCTTCTTGAATTTCCAGAAGATCTCAACTACTTCTGACTTGTATTTTATAAAGAAAATCCAACACATTCCGGTAAAGTCATCAATGAAAACAATGTAATATCGACTACCTTTATGTGAAGGTGTTTTTAGAGGGTCAGCCATATTAGTATGAATTAATTGAAGTATTTATACAAATTTCCAAGTTGATTTTGGAAATGGTTTCCTACTTTGTTTGCCAAACTAATAGGCTTTAAGATGTGGCAATTGATCAGAAAATAGAGATACTCCTTTTACAACATCATTCTTCTTCATACTAAGCATCCATTGTTGATGACAGTATCCCAGCCTCTTATGTCATACTTCTGCATCTTTTAGCTTTGTTGAAAAAGCTGTGTGCTCCTCCTTAAATAGTAAAAATGAGAAACTTTTACCTCTCATCTTTGTTTGCAGTATTTTTTTTGTCTAGCAATGTAAAAAAATAACATAATTGATCTTTCAAAATCACCTTCATGTCTTTTTCTATTAGTTGCCCAACACTTAACAAATTTTAATTTATATTAGGTACATAGAAAACATCTAAAAGTGTTTCTGTACCAGAATTTGTTGTGATGACAATGGCTCCTTTTCCCTTAGCTACTATATAATCACCATTTTCAATTCGAACCCTTGCAACTTCTATAGATTATAATTTTCTGAAAAGACTTTTGTCAAAAGTCATGTGGTTTATGTAACCACTGTTAATGAGTCAATTATCTAAGGAGTTTTGAATTGAAAAACAGATAGCTATAAACATTTGATTTTCATTATCTTGACTAGCAGTCTTGTTTCTGAGGTTTAGTTATGCAAATAACTGCTTCATGTTCAAGTTAATTGTATTTGCTACACTTTGCATCAGGTCTCTTCCAACACTTGAATGGTGGATGACCTATCTTGTTGTAGTGTTGATATGGTGGAAAATTTCTTTTAAATTTTTTCCCCTTGTTCTGAAATTGATTCCCACCTCATAAGTCTTCGTTGTTTTTGAGCTTGTAAGGTATTCAAAAGTTCTGCCAATATAATTTTTAACAAATCTTTTGTATTTTCCAATGTAGTCACTAAAGCTTCATTTTTTTTGGTACTGTTACAAGAAGTTTTTTTATAATTCTAGAGTTTGTGAACATAGTTCCTAACAATCTAACTTTGTTTATAATACCAAACAACCTATTTGAGTATTCCTTTATGGTCTTAGATTCTTTCATTTTTTATAGCTCAAACTCTCATATCAAGTTT